TCGCGATAACAGAAAAGCAAGAGAGAAAAGGAGAACATCACCGCCCAAGCGCCAAAATCGCTGCCGCTCCAAAAATAGACAATGTCGTCTGACTCAAAAAAGAGCGAAAGAGAGAAGCGTAGCTACGTGAGAAAAAATTACGTCATCGGGATAGGACTTTTGTATAAATGCCGACAAGAGTGGACCGGGGACAAGAGAGTACCGCACTCGGTCCTAGACGTTATGCGTTAGAACTTAAGGTCGTTCAACGATACCCGTGCTTCTTGTATTCGCCTTTTCGTTCGTGTAAGAAATGATTATGAGACGCTGTATTTTTAATGACTCGATCACTTGTCGCTATATTTCATGTTGAAAAATAAGTATTGAAGAATGAATGAACAATGAATTTGCAGTATTGTCTAATGATTGCCAGTAGAGTCACATTTCCCGACTTTTCTGTAAAATAGCATCTAATGAGTATCGATTTTACACGCGCAATTTTATAATTTTCAGGACAATTTGAAAACACGATAGAGATTAAATAGAAATTTCATATTCTTAAATAATACTCGTTATTTGCTAATGACATTTTGCTTTGTAGGATTACTATTTTTAGCCGATGAATTAGATGCATTTGTGCGATAAATAATCGGCTTTTTTTTTCTTTTTATCGAATTTGTTCTCTTCGACCGCCTGAAGGATAAAATTTCGTTTCAAAATACTGAAGTTATAAGAGATTTGATTTATTTCTCTGATTCTAATTAATTGAAATTATTTTCAATATTATTTGCCTCTATACTCTGATGAGTACAAGCTTAAACTTACTTTACGAGTATCACTTACGGTATGTACTAAATCTAAATTAATTATGCATTAGTAACTATAATTTGTCAATAAAATATTATTATAAAGTAACTGTTTGCAAAATTTAATTGTAAAGGTAATGTTATAAAAATAATCAGTACAATTATATATTTGCTCGTATTATAACTTTATTTGCACGATTTGTTATCCTATGTAAGTTATAAAAAAGCCTTGAAATCAAGTTTTCTTTCGTCAACACAGACAAATATAATAATTTTCTTACAAGTAATACATTTTAATATGAATAGATATCTGTAAATTATCTGCGTAGTTTTTTGCAACGATGACGGTTATTTGCAAATATTTATTGGTAACTATTTCATCCATAAATGCCGAAAAGCTAAAATCCGAGCATTTCATTGAAGAAAATATTCCTCATACGTCTGCAGTATAAATTTCAATATATTCTGGTATATTTTTATTTTACAACGTTATCGATGAATAATCAATAAATAAATAATAAAAAACTGTATTAACCCAGACGAGGTGTATGCACAAATGAAAGATTCGAATATGTTGCGGGAATGACTGACTGGATATCCCCAATTCAAAATAGACCTTAAGTAACCTTACACAACTATTTTATCGACATCTTTAAAAACTAATGTATTCACTCATCGATTTAAAAATACTTCATACATAGCTATTTTAAGAAAGAATAAAAAATCAAAATATAACGGTCTGATATCTACTTCTACTCGATATGGCTATTCGTCAAGACATTACGGGCAATGTTGTAAAAATTACTTTGATCGTATTGGTATGGATGAATTGGTATGAATTATGATTATAAACAAATTTTGAAAATAATAAGTTCGAATAATTTTCCTAGAAGCTTGTATGTCAAAGAAAACTGAGAAAAAATAAACTGAAAAGAAAATAAGGTCTCCCCAACTCTTTTTGTACAGTTATTATCTACTTGAATATGAAATTAATAAAAATACGTATATATATATATTTATTAAATATTAATCATACAGCTTTGTCAAATAATTTAATTACTTTATAGTGATAGAAAATAACCAGAAAATAAAATAAAAATAAATGAGTTCTACATAATGAGTATGTTTTAATGGAATTTAAAATTATGCTCGAAACTTCTCTATTTAGAATATATTTATAATATTTTTTTATAAAGTGTAAGTCTATTATATACTTCGAAACTTTTCAAGAAAAAGATTGACTAAAAATGAAAGAATAACTGACTTTCAATAATATAAGGTATTGAGAAAAAACAATAAAAACAATAATAATAGCAAAGAGTTTTGTATATTTACATTTATTTATAAGCAATTTTTAACTATATACCTTCATGGGGTTATGTTATCAAGTGATTTTTTAATAATCCTTCTCCATAAAATACAACATACAGGTATAGAAATCTCATAAGCCTTGGATAACTTTATTCACTCTAGATTAAATGACTTTTAATCTTGTGCACAGATATTACATAAAGATTTTAATACTCATAACGTAAGCTATTCGATTCTCTGTATTCATGAATAATAGTAGCTACTAGATCTAAACAAAATAATCTCGTTTCATTGCAAATAATGATTGATCATTCTCGTCTTTGCTTTTAAGGTAACAATTTCTTTACTATTGACGACATACCTTTGTATTTTATTTTCTTAAGAAAGATTTCGTAGTTCCTAGCTAACTGACAAGATTCACGTAATTAAAACATCGGAATACTAAGAAATTATTGAATCATTAATATAATTTGATTTCCTAATAGATGTAACACGAACAAAAAAATACTTTTGGCAATTTTAAAACTTTAAGGAAATTTGTTTTCCTACATTTAAACGAATAAATATATACACTATGCACTGTAGTCCTTGACATAAAAAATAACTTTTACTTTTTAAAATAATTATTAGTTATCGATTAACTGTTTCTAGTCATCTAAATTAAGTGCAATAGCATTTAGTACCGCGCCCAAGAAAGGTGAAACTATACGAATGAAAGCTCGAAGAAAGTAAACGAAGAAACGACACGAGTGAAAGTGAAAGAACGAAGACACTATCAGCCACTATCATTTTAACAAAAATTGCCAACATTGATGTATTTCCTTGCTATATCTCAACTATCTGATGTACTAAAAACATCGGAAAAATCCAATAGTAAATCCAGTCATATTTCATTGAAATTGTTATATTTTACGTTTACTCTACAAGATTATTATTTCCTTTAATTCATCTTTGTATTATAGACATTTGTCCATATACTTCGACTTCGATTTCATTAATGTACAATTGATTTCTTTCTTACACACTTATAACTAATTTAATATAGTATTATTCAACTTTTCGAATATTCTAAACAAACACTTAAACTAATCATGAAAAAAATACTAAAAAAGTTATCAGTGAAATTATATTTATATTTACTGATATGTACTTGTTACTTTATCTTTATTCGATTCATTCTCTAAATTCAAAAGTTAATATACAATATTAAATAAATATGTAAATCAATGTATAAATCAACCTATATTTATTGATTACAAATATAATTTTATTTATTGATAAGCCTACATTAGATATACAAAGATTAATTTAAACTTCATCTTTTTTTCTTTTTTTTTAATTTAATTTTTCAGAATAAAAAAACTTAAAAATACCCATTTGAAAAATTATAATCTTTTGGATTTATTTATAAAAGTAGTTGAAAATAATATACAAAATTTTTGAAATGGACGTAGTAATTAACTCGATATGTTCAACGAAAAATTGTAATAATAATTTGGAAGCATAGATTTAAATATAGAAATGAGAATATTATTATTGAACATGAAGTGAAACAATTTTACTTCAGAGTTACATGTGGTCAAACATTTCAAGGATCGATAATAAATCGTTTTACTTTATTGTGCTATAAAGTTTTTGTAACTTAATCATATATGGGCGATTGATATATGTTCAATAACTGTCATGCCAAATATGAATTTAAATATAGACGTTGGAAAGTAAAGTTGCAAAAACAAAATTAATTAAAGCCCGATATCAAATTACATATTAAATTTAATTAAGAAGTTAATTTAATATTCAGTAATTTGCCAATTTCACGACACTTATTAGCTATAGGTTAAAAAAATCTGCGTAATAGTATGAGACGTGGTAACGAATTTCGTAGTAATCTACACTTCGCGCAGTCGATAAAATAGAGCATAACCAGTATTTAATATTTTAGAGTTCATACTACCCGACATATACTGTACGTCGATAAGATAGAAAATAAAACAAAACAAACAAAAAATTCAATCTTTTTTAATTCAAGACATTTTCTAGTAGGAAAAGAACTTTGTTATATTATTTTAAATTAATAGTAATAGCAATAATAGCAGAATAAGTATTAAAATAATCTTCCTTTTCTGAATTTTATTAAAACTTTAGGAGTAATATATTGGTATTCTCATAGAAATATCTATAATATTAAGTAATGAATGATTATTCAATACTTCCGTATTTACTTATTGATTTTTTTGTAATTTAATATATTTAATATCCAGTATAAGTAATGAAAATTCGATTACCAAAAATGCAGCGATTTTATATACAATTTAAAGCACTCGTAGTTGTAAATTTAACGAATAAAAAATATCACGTACAAGTACTGTAATTAACTACTTTAAGTGAATCTGCCGAATTGAGATGAATGTCGATCTTTTAATATATTACATGCTATACGTTTCATATTACTAATTAACTTACAACTCTATTGACTACACAGTATTTATAATACTTGTGTAGAAACTATTTACAGGTTAACTAACTTATCGATTATCAATTTTTATATATAAAAAAAAATAAATAAATAATAATAATAATAATAATAATAATAATAATAATAATAATAATAATAATAATAATAATAATAATAATAAAGGAATAGTAAATTTTCGATGAGCGAGTAATTGTTCTTATCAAAAGATCGTGCTAGATCGCGACAAAAAACACTCGACGTATATCAAAAATACATTGCAATTCAAATGCAATGTCCGCTACAACGTGGCTTCCCCTTATTATCAATAGCATCGAAATAATAACGGCGCAAGTGCTACCGAACCTCCAAAATACTCGGCTGTTACGGAAAATCGAAGGGGACGACTCGCAATTAATAATTATCCCCCAATAAAACAAAGAAAGACTCACTTCGTCGCAAGCTGCGCACCTGGGCTTCAATTGCTCGGCGTAGTGCCTCTCGCAGTAAAGTGCATCGTCGTGCATACAGTACGCAAGGTCGACCAGCAACTCCTCGCATTGCGAACATCTGAAGCATGTGGGGTGATAGACAAGTCCAAGTTTACTCGCTGATACCGCGAGGCTACCGTACTTCAAGGGCTCGTTGCAAGTTCCGCACTCCTGTAAGTTTGGGGGATCGTTAGTAGAGTTGGGAACATGGGGGATTTTAATGAACATGGAACTGATTGAATCGAATGAAAATGGAATTGAAAAAAAAAAAAAGTTAGACACAGTCACGAGAGACCTGCCTCGTATAAACTATTAATTATTTTCTGTTACAATTTTTAATATTTACTATATTGTTTTGAAATGTGAGAATTTTTATTTTATACAATAACGCGTGTGTCCTCATTTTATTATCTTCGTTAGTTTGAGTAATACGACATGTATACGACCTTTATAATTCTTCATCACCAAAATTCACATTCGATAAATTGTTTAAACTACATTTTGTCGACGTTCATTTTAAATTCCATTTTATCCACCATTTATTTACTAATTGCATTTTTTTACCTTCTCGGTAACATTATCCACTTGTCTCAAAACATGGAAATATGTTTTATAATAAATTGGAAGTTTAAACGTGTAATGAGAATGACAATGTAACATATATTTTGAAAAAATAAATCAAAACGAATATTGTTGAAATCGATGTTAGGATAGTAATTTTCGTAAACAATAATCAATGAAACCAAGTTTACGAAACGCATAGAAATTTATTACATATGTCGATAATATAGGAAATAACAAGAATATTTAATTTTACAGTACGTTAATCTTAATTCACAGGCATGTAGCATGAAATATATAAAAAAAAAAAAAAAAATTCGAATAATTTAGAAATCCAAGGCTTTCAGGCATAAAATATTTTCGTATATTTTTTCCTTTTCTTCTAACATGTATAAAATTATTTTAATCACACATATTCACATAAAATAAAACATGTAAATTATTTATTTATACACGTGTGCAATTAATTAAGAATGATTGGAAATAACTTTAATACGTATATTTGTATCAAGAAGAAACTTCCATTGGATTTAATGATTTCTATATTCTGTAACTTATAATTATTGAAAAGCGTTAAACAAATTACAATAATTGGAATAGAAAACCTGTTTAATTAATATTATAAAAATATTATGAACTTGGTCAATATTAATCAGAAAAATATAATTTAATAAGAAAAAATTTATTTCATTCTCAGTTTTTAGAATTTATTCAAATATCTATAACAGAATAAAGTTTATAAAATTAGAAAATAATATACTTATAGAAATTTATAATATATTAAGAATGAATTGGATTCTGCTAAAAATCAATTACACGTCAATTACTAAAAATTACATTTACACCGACTCTTCAAGAGTTTTTTTTTTTTTTTTTTTTTTTTATATTAACTTACACAACTTATCTGAATTTAAATGCATATGTAATACATTAAAAATGAATTCGCTATTATTTTTTAAAGTATTCGATGAGGATTAGTTGGGTTTTGTGTGTATGTGTGTGTGTGTGTGGGGGGGGGGGCGCACGCGCGAGTTTATATAAACGTGATTTAATACTATGTACGATAAAATGATATAAAATAAAACTCGGCGATAGTGTGCTTCGTAATACGTAGCCTTTCCAGTTATAGAAGAAACTAAACGACTCGTTCGATTACTATCAACATTCGTGATTAAATAGATAGTAGTTGAACTATATTAAAGAATCGCGAGGTTTCTATACTAATCGGCTAGTCGTCGAATCAAAACAAAAAACAAAACAAAACAAAAAACAAAAAAAAACAAAAAAAAAGAAGCAATTTGCAGGCACATAGGAAATTAGAGATACGAAATGCGAGATGAAAGACTTGTCCGCATCTACTTTAAAAACGACTTACCGCGATCTTATCGAAGATCTCCTGAACGCTGCCGATGTCCAAGGCGATCTCGTTTCGCGCGGCCATGAAGTCATCGGCGCTGACGGAATGTTGGGGGTCGAGGTGTCGGCAGTAGGCCCGGGCGAGGTCCTGCTTCGGAAGTTGAGTCGCCAGTTGGCGATCCCTGTGACGCTCGCCAGCAGTCCCGAGCCGTGGGACCGACAGCGATGGCAACATCGAGAAGTACTCCTCCACCTGGCGAACGGCAAGAAAGAGTCTCGTCATTAAACATGAATTTGAATGAAACGTCATTGAACATGAATGATTAAACTTGTTTTGCGATATCTGCTGCTGAATTTGCCCGAACGTGGGTGTCGAGTTTCTTTTCATTTTTTCGCACCAGTCGATGACTGCTATCGCAGCGGTTGGGTTTTGCGTCCACTACCGTGGGAATCGCGAGAGGCTTTATTGGATTATTTGGATAAAAAGTCTTTACATTTAAATAAATCGTAAGATTGAATCGTTTGGAACTCGATTGAGCGTCGACTATGAAAAATTTTTATCATAAATTTGAAAATATTCCAAGCATAAGTTGTCTATTGTGTATTACTTGATGAAATGTTAAATCTTGTATGAGAAGATACGAAAAAGTTGCTGAATTATTTAAATATTTCGAAATTGTTGCGAAGCATGGCTTAGGGAGTTTACGACATATTATGAAATAAGCTATAAGCCATTTTCAAACCGTCGCATGTGAAATCGCTCGATGCTTCTTATCCCCGTAATTCGCTACTCCATGCCGTCTCCGAGTAAAAATTATCCCCTTAATATTTTGTAAACGCCCTATGGCATTTCCTACAATCTTTGAAGATTTCCGAAAATTATTAATGCTGTTGTTGTTGTTGTTGCCATCAAAGCGCCGGAAAAGTGGGAATTCCTTTAGAAATAAAAAGAGACAAAACAAAACAAAATAAAAAAATCAAAAAAAATAATCAAAGAATCATTTGAAACAATTTTTAACGCTCAACATTTTACAACGAAATATGTGCGCCATATACACCGATAAATGAACATTCGAACATCAATGGCCCTAAAAGCAAATGAGCGCATTACAGCATATTCTAATAATATAATGCTTTATTCAAGTTCAGCCAGATAGACGGAAAAGAATCATTGGAGGAGTGGAGGAGGGGAGGAGGAGGGGGGGGCGGGAAGCGCACACTCATAATGGACGAGGTTACACGCCAGTTATCACAAGTTTTCCGAAAATATTGACGGCGGGCTACAGGCCAAACATCCAATGTTCGTGCGCGTGCAGTTTAAGAGCTAAACGCTAAACGCAGTTGCAATTAGTTACATCCGCACTGAGAAAGTTTATGTATTAGACTTTACTTTTACCTCGTGATGATTAATACGGAAATAAAGGACTTTAAGAAGTAATTAATTATTGTTTATTTATAGGAAAATCTTAAATAAACTTTCGTTAAAATTACTTAACTCATGCACGTAGTTGCGAATAATACGGATAAGAGGAAAATGTTCTTTCGCAATGGCGTTGCAGGGGAGGGGGGATGCGCGAGTGGGTGTATTATGAGGGGCGCGTATGTGTGTGCGCACTATCGACTTAAAATACATTACATAGTCTTTTCATAAAGTTTAGTAAAGTAGCGATTCGTAAATTTTCGCTATTTAAGCCGAATGCAAAATTTTTATGAGAAAATCTGCTTCTCAACAATTTGATAAGAGTAATTTAGAATGACAACTTCTAATTACGAAAGAACAATAGCTCGTTTGCATTCAAATCTTATAAAGCCAATTATTTAGTCTTGTCAAGTATTAATTAGATATGTGGCAATTCTTTTTCCATATATTAATTCATCGTTTTCACGAGCAATGAGATATTTAGATACATTTCCGTGTTTTCATGGCCAAATGATTAAAAAGCAACAAAAGAAGAGAATGAGCTTTAATGTAATGTAAATATAAATTTAATTATTCATTATCAATATTATAGAGAAGTATATGATTTGGCAAAAAAATTTTTACTCGGCTTCTCGTTTCATCATAAGCGCTGCCAAGTTATATCGTTATTATTCCATCGCTAATTATCAAAAAAACGTATTAATTCTACCGAATATATACTTCTAGCTCAAGCGAATATCCAACTAAATTACTGCATGCTTAAAATACTTCAAAGATTAACTTAGACTTTAGTTATTTTATATTAATGAAGCTAAATTACATTCACAATTAATGCCTTTACGTAAGTTCCGATTATTGTAAATTTTTCTTTCTTATATATATATATATATATATATATATATATATTTAATTGCTTTCGTAAAATTTATCAATTAAATAAAATTCTAAATGCAATCTTCTTTGCAAGTTCAAAATTACTAGCATTCTTTTCAACTTGCCCCATTCGTAATACGTTTATTTTGAAAATACTCGTAATTTTTTTATCTTCCGCGGGTATAAAAATTAGAAATGTACATTAATACTAAAATGTAAATGATATATCTGTATAAAATTTCTTATTATATTCATAATAACGCAATTTAAGCATTTCAATTAAGAATAAGAAATTCATTTATAAAATGAAATCTATCTATCTTTTAATATTTTATATTGCAATAATTTGCATTCGTTTTCTAAAGTTGTTGATATAAATAGAAAAGACTTGACTCATATACCAAAGAACAAATAAACTTTTGTCAAAAAAAAAAAAAAAAAAAAAAAAACTTTTTAAAAAAAAAAAAAAAAAAAAAAAAAACACCTAGCGGGCTTCTTGCACTAAACTAAAATTATGAAGTATAAAAGTTATTAAAAAAAACAGAGTGGCAAATATAATGTTAATTATTGCGTTAATACCTGTTTGGTTTCAATCAGTATTATGTGAATGTGTTATTATTATGTGTCGTTCGGTTAAATTTACTTTTGAATGAAATACTGAAATTAAATAGTAAATAAAATAAAATAGTCTAAAATAGCGCTTTAATCATTAATTATTAATATAATAAAATCAAAACGAATAATCATATTTGCATCATTTGATTTAAGCAATTTATTATTATGCAATTGCATTTATATTTTATTTATATTGGCCTAAACTTTTATTAATGGAAATTTTTTTTCTATTTATCTCTGGAAATACTCAGTAGCTAACGTCGTAGCTTGAATGTGATGAAACAAAATATATTGCACTTAAGCTTTTGCTACTTCTCCTAATACATTGCACTTTGAAATTGTGAGTTTACTCATTCTCATATCATGATTCCCGGATTATTTGTCGGCAATAAAATCGAAATTCTATTATACAAGTTTAATATTATTAATAATAAGTTGGAAATTTATGAGAATTAATGCAATTTAATTGACAATTGTTATCATTAAGCGACTATCAAAGACAACGACTCTTTGAATATTTTTATAATTCCCATCGTTAATTAAATTTAATCAGAAGCCTTAATTAGCTTTGCTAAAAATACACTTCATCCTCATTCATAATTGGCGACGTATCAAAAGTAATTATTGAACTTAAATTGAAATAAGGAAGAAAAGATAATACTGTTGAAGTTGAGAAAGATATAAAATTCTATGAAACTCTTGGGTATTTAAAGCAAAGCCGTTAAGCTGCATTTAGCTACAATTATATTAATTATTTTAATCAGCCATTAATTCCTCCAACTTTCGGATCTTTGTGCTCTTCTGGATGAGAACCTCGAACGGATGGTCAATCGGGAGAATCATCGAGAAGATCGTGATAACTAAGTGAAAAAAATTTGGTTCGATCCTGTGGTGACATTCGCTTGTCCGACCAACCGCGCTCACGATGAACTTCGACGAAACTTCATCATCGGACAAAGTAACGAGACTTACCTTGTGCGGGGGTAGTCCGGGTGGTGCCCACGCAAGTCCGGCATCCCTGGGATCGAAACCGCCGGGGTCCCTGGATTCGTCGGCCTTGAGTCCGAGTCGCGCCCGTACCGACACCCACTCGTCATGACAGACGTCGTGCGCCTCTCTTGGACACTTGCAGCTCGTGCAATTCTTCCTGCAATGGACGGAGAAAATCGCTCATTCATTAATGATGCCTTTTACGAATCATCAAGGCGGGAAATATTTCTTTTTTAAAATATTGCCGAGAGTTGTCCAATCGCTAACAAGCCAAACTCGAGTGATGCCAATGGCGACAGCTAAAGCTTATTTACACGTTCGTTTTAGCACGGCCCGTTGTTCTTCTTCTTGTACTTGTTGTTGTAATTGTAATCATCTTGTAATTGTTATTGTTATTGTTATTGTTATTGTTATTGTTATTGCTATTGTTATTTTTATTGTTATTGTGACTGTTGCAGCCATTATTATTATTATTTTTATTTTCATTATGTATTATTATATTATTATTATCAACAACATTTATTATTAATTATGTATTGTCATTATTTGCTATTATATTACTACTAGTACTACGGCTTTTGTCGTTATTATCATGATTATTATTATTATTATTATTATTGTTTTTAATACTTTAAATGATTATTTAAGATATTTTAAGGTATTTTTAGGGTATTTTCTCAATGAAAATTGCACAAATTTAATAATTTTAAAGTGACACCTAATGTAATACCGTAAATATTCTTTCACATTATCATTTCGAATGGAGAGACAAATAGATTAATACCTTTTTTCTATATAGTACGTATACAGAATAATCTTGATACAAAATCAAATACTATCACAATTTATCCTCCTTGGTTTCATTAAATATAGAGATAAAATATAATGACTTTAGTCGTACAATAAATATTGTTATATTCTAATTTTCCAAAAATTTATTTTAATAATTTATTTTAATAAGCTTCAAGTTTCTAATGATATTTTGGAATAATACGTAGTGATATAGATAATATTATAGTGAGTAAAGTTTTTAGAAAATGAAATTTCGAATTGTGTATATAATGTACTTAATATCATTTTCTGTACTTTAAAATGAAAATGTATGCATTTAACTACAAGTGAATTATATTTCAAAAATTAAATGTTTCTTTTAATAATACTTTTATTATCTATTTTTTAGATGCAATTTATTTGAAAGTTACTTAATAAAATATACCTTAACTTTTTACGACTAATGTAATTTTAACTAAAAAAATAATACACTGAAGTAAAAGATTATAAAGTATTGTTACTAAGTATATATTATTATTATGGGGAAAAAATGTAATAAAAATTAATAATTTCAATTAAAAAGTTTATTAATTATAACATTGATTAGGCATAATAAAAAGCAGAATTCAATTAAATAGATGAAATTAACCATTAAAATTATTTGTCTTTTGTATTTGTATTGAAAATACATGTTTAAAATCTTTAGAACCTACAATACAAAATATCTAGAATTTAAAATATAATCTATGCATAGATAAATTGATTAGGCCAATGGTTTTGAACACTTTTTATTGAATATAAATCATATACATATAATATTCAAGACTTCAAACTCCGATGAAAATTTATAACAATCATTGCTATTAGAACCTTACAACTTAGTAGCATCTTTAGAGCTAAAAAAGACTAATTACCGCGGGAACCGCAAACAAATACTCTTTCATAATTCTTTTAAGCTTAAAAATTGAAAATTCCTTTATGCATTCAAAGAACTCATTATATAAAAATCATTTAAGATTTCAAGTATGGAAATTGAGAATTATTCACAATAATAATCTTCACCTCAGTATCAGCACTCACCCTCAGAATTGTATAAGTAGATAATAATCGTAATTCATCAAAATATTGAAAAACATCCGCGTCAATAGATAATAAACTACATTCATCTGGCTATGAAAGGAAATGAATGACTAGTTATGTTACGTAAACCAAAGCAATATACGTGACCAAATAAATTGGATAGGTGAATTGTACAATTAGCAAGATGTCTTAGCATCCGAAATTTATCGCGCATCAACCACCGCACCCTTCCTTACATGTCGTATTAAAGGCCAAGGCAAACGATCGTGCAAGTTCTCTTATTCGCTTTTTCACAACGTTGCACCCTTTTCCATTATGTGTTACTTTTTCCTTTGATTATTTATTTATCAATGCCACTGAATTTTATCGTAAAAGATTCGTGCGAACTGATTATGAAAGGTAAATGAAATAAAGCAAATGATCAATACAGTGAGAAATAACGTAAATAGGGAGAAATAGTAAAGTCGCAACAAAGAGGGAGAGGGAGAGGGGGGGGTGTGAAAGATGAAGAAGAAAGAATAAGAATTACGTTTCCCTCTGCAATGTGCTAATGAAGACTTTTTTTCGAAACGATCCATTTGGAAAAGAGCATTTCGATACTTACAACCTGTCTTTATGCGTTTGATGCGTGACGTAACTTTTTATTTCATCTTAGTGTTTTTTTAGTTTTTATTTGAAAATATTTTCTTGCATTATTTATAGTAAATGGAGTTGTGGGAACTATATAAAATCTGATTTTATTAATGATCTAACAATAACATTACTTTTTTTAATGAACGAATTGACTCTATGTAAGTGAAAGCTAGAATTGTGAAATCAATTAAATCAATTAAATCAATTAAATAACGAATATTGTTAATAAAAATTTATCTTCAAATTCTCCGATTCTAATAATACAAAAACTAAAACTTTAAAATAAATGTAATTATCGACGTACATACTTAAACTGATTAAATAAATTTTATATCATTTGTTAATGCACACAGTTTTATTAATATTTATTTTATTTTAAATCTAAATATATTCATAGTTTTCAATTTCTAACAAAAATGAATCGAGCTAGTATAATAATACAATATATATTTAACTAATAATTGAGATTTTAATTTGGATAACAATTATGAGTCTAATCGATTGAAATTCACTATTCGTAAAACAAATTTTCAATGTGTATACGATAACGCATATAATAATATCATTTTAATTTACATTAAAATATTTTACAGTAAAGATACTTTTAATGCAATTTGTAATTCGTTGTGACTCCTTAGTAAATAACGTAAAGGATAAATGTTCATAAATGACAAATGTTTTGAGAATGAAATAAAATTATGTAAGTCAAAAAGTAAGATTAAATCATTTAAATCATGAGATAGGTAAACCTCAATGTACATCTAAATATAATTGTGCAAAGAAAACTTGAAATCAGACAGCACAATAAGAATCAAAGCAAATCAATCTAGTGACTATTCAAAAAAAAAAAATAAATAAATAAATAAATAAATAAATAAATAAATAAATAAAGAGTTTAAAATACTTCACTGTATAGATTAAAATTTTACATGCTTATATAAAGGTATTGAAATTTTTAAACAATAAAAAATGCTTAACAACTCAACGTGTTTCTTTGTTTATCATATAAAGTTGCTTAAAATTTAAATCAAGGATCTGACGTCAATGTCGGCATATTATTTTTGTCTCTGCTGATACCAATAAAAATGTCAATAAAGAAGCACACAAAAATTTTAAATGTCACTGTCAGGACGGTTTTGGAATACTGTATTTGTTACATTATGAAAGGCTCGTTAATCACGACTAAGTGCCGGAAAAATGATCATTTTTAGGGAAATTTGAAAATATATAATGTCTCAAGGGACGTGAGAAGACCTCGATATTCCATTCATCGTAGACGTTATTGTACATCGTTGTGCTTTTTATAATGTCAAAGCTCATAATAAGATTATAATGGAAGGACAAAATAAGAATACAAAAGGCATTATCACTGTTATTATCAAGATATATAATAAAGCATATAATGTTATTACATAAATATTCTATTATTGATAAACTTGGGACTTTTTGTAGTGTAACTGCAAATTTCTTAAAAAGAAAAAGAAAACAAAAAAAAAATTATATGAAATATGATACACATTTATATTAAATATTTTTATAAATTCATTACTTTTTTAATAAACACATTAACATAAGCATATGTCGGTTCGATAAATCATATACTAGAAAAAATATTGTTTAAAAGTCACTTATCTAACTCTTGTATTAGAAATAGTGCTAATCAAGTATGAATTTATTAAAGGCTTCTAATATTTATATTGAATCTAACGTGCATAATCTTAAAAAATTGTTATTAAAACATAAATAAATAGTTTAGCTAAAACCAAACGTTATTATTTTACTTCTTCTGTGATGTCCATAATATTAACTCCATTTTATAGTATATAGATAGTTTTAAAATATTCGAAAATTACGAATCTCCATTTTTTCTGCATTAATTTTATTGAAATTTAAAATTATAATGAACGTAATAATATATGAATTATTCGTATTTCTCTATGCAAAAGGCTAATCTCATAATCTTTTGAAGTGTAAGAGCTTTTAGATTATTAATCATAATGCTTATAAAAAAGTTTTTTTGGCTAACCATTTTATTATATATAATAAATTTGGTTGTCTTATTTAAATAATTATTTACCAATTTTCAAATTCATCTTAATCATTCGCGTCCAATTTTCATAAATATATATGTATGTATTGCTATTCCAATAAAGCATTTTTACGATCTAAAACAATTTATTAATTAAGAATTAAAATATAATATATATATATATGTGCATACATTATTTTTTAAACTTTATAAATAATTTGACGTATATTATACTGAAAAGTAAGATATAATTCAATATTCTATGAAATTCAATTATGAATAGTACCGATGAAACCACCACACATACATTATGCTTAATATAAATGAACGTTAATTAAATACTTATGATTTCCAACTAGTTATCGATTACTTATTAATTAATTATTAGTAATTATTAATATTAGCTTTTGCCAATGCTTAAACCATTCATCAACATTTAATCATCAATGATCGTCTTTATCGTAAATGCATATTATAAATTAAAATACACGAGATATAATAGTTACTGTTCATATATAATAAAACTTCAATCAATTGTTATGGACAAATAATATATTATGTATAGTAATTTCCTAATTATTTTAATAGTATAGTAATTCTAATCATAGAAGAGATTTAATAGAAATACATAATACATAATAAAAAATATTATAATTAACTTATTAAGATTTGATAATCATGGATTAAGATTAGATGTGAAAAAAACGGTAATTAAATTTGTTATTGAAAATACTGTATTAACTAATTATTTTTTACATTTAAATATACATATGTAATTGCATAAAGAAATACTTTAAATACGGTATAAAAATCTATTTAATGCTACATTGTGAAATGTTTATAGGAAGTAATTTTAAGTGTTAAGATAAGTAGACATTTTCGACTTAATCACAAATTCAAAACTTTAGACGTTTTGATATGTCCAAGATGAATGAGGGTTCCACAGAACTGTGATATAAATTTTTAATGAGACACTTGTATGCAATTCTCCAACGAATCGGTACAAGCGACAATGGTAAAGGAGGGAATAACGATGATGTAAACGGCTCGTTAGTCTAGAAAAAGGGTTCGTTTTCTCTTGTCAAACATTTCAATTAATTATCCTACCATATCAAAGTGCACCGCCCCTCTTCATATCGCAAATACGCCAATGCAGAACATTAAAAAACTATTGAGCAGTATTGCATGAATATAAATTCATACAATAGAAATATTGTATTAAATCCTACTGAAAATGTTTTAAAACTGGAATAATTAATTTTTTAGGATCTGTCACATAAGATGTTAATTGTCTATTTATATATCGTTTCTGATTAATACACTGAATAATTTTTAATACTTACAGATAAAATGGTAATTTCTTATACATCCATATTTAATTCTGATTTTAGTTGCCAATGCTTATTAAGTCATACCGCAGTATAAGGAAATATACAAATTTTCCAAAATATATTGACTAATATGATCATATATCTTTTATTCTTAATTTTCTTTTTCTTTCCTTTCTCCATTATATTTAATAATATTTATTAACCCTTTTTAAATAAAATATACTATTATTACTTTTTAAACCTTTAAGTGATGGGAAAAATCTAATTTATTATTAGATTATAAAGAGAATGTTTATCGTGCATCGTACAAATAAATATACGAATGCACATATGAGTGAAAAAAAAACATCGACAAAACAATAATGATAAAAAATGCTTTCAATTTCCTTAGATTTTGTTAATAAGAAAAGTATATAATATAGTAAGATCCGTAATATGATAATCAATTATTGTTCACTCAACTTGAAAACATTAAAATGAAAAAGTATTGAAAAAATTTCAGAATTAATTGTTCTCCAGTATTGCAGTAAAAAAACTTTATATTTATTTATTTTATCTTGTTAGTTAACGGTTACAAAGTACAAAATTAAATTTCCTTCTCCGACACATGTATACGTGTTTGAAAGCGAAAAAAGAAAGGAAGAAGGGGATCAGGATAGAGAGAAAAGAATGTGTGTGTGCGTGTGCGCGCGCGCGCGCGCGCATATTTATGTATTTATAAAGTATATCAGGAATGTGAAACGAAGCAGTCGAAGTAAATTGTGTGAAATGGGGGAATCAACGCGGCTTAAAAGGAAAAAAGAAGGGAAATCCTAAGCCATAGTCCAACAACCACATAATGAAAAATCGGCCACGTAGGTGAGATCTGGGCGGTTGGACTCTACATGCAAGCATCTAATTGTGTAAATATTTTATTTTATAATTAGATATATATTTTACTTTCTACCCAATTTATTTATGTGCTACGACATGTATTTAATGACAATTACATTGTATAATACAGACTATAAGTATTTTCATATTATTAAAATTTAATATAGCAAGCATAAATATTACAATTATGGACAATTATGGTTAATTGTTAGATAATATTTTAAAGGCAATCTGAATAGCAAAACAGTGTTCCAACATACAATACTAATTTGTTATTGTTATTAAAAACTTTATACGAAAGACTAAAGCTTTTAATATATCTTATGATTGTTAAGCAACATTCGTTTCTGGTTAAGATAACATTGACAATTTTTGATGCTGATATTTATTTTAGAATTTAAATTACCTTTTCTTCTCACAAAGTACTTTTTGACTTTGTAAATGCCACAGTTACATCATTTTCTAAAGTACTTAAACAAATCCATAATTATTGAGAAATATGAAAAACTTATTTATCCAGGAATGCATAGGTTCGTGCAATTCTGAGAATATATTAATCTACTTACAGTTTTAAATTGAATCGAATTACTTTGCTATACGGAAAAATGAATATACACGCGCGCGTGTGTTTTTTTAGAGTTAAGTAGCATAAACCATGAAATTTTATTATATAATGATCTAATATAATGATATTAATTGTTATAAGATTGACGTACACATTTTAGTCGGACGAAACAATCGTAATTTTATTATTTAATTATTAGTAACAAGAGTGGAATTAATATATTTTTGATTATTTATTAATAATAATAATAATAATAATAATAATAAGAAGAAGAAGAAGAAGAAGAAGAATACTATATAAATCGATTTGTAGAATATTTTTCTCAAGTAAACTGGACTTTAATTGAACAGTCCCTTAGGCTCCATTGTACTCATTATTCTTTATTATTTATCTAACGAAATCGCTTTTATTATATATGGCTCATTAAGCACAAGGGAAAAAGTTAATTTAGCCCGTAATCGGTTACAAAATCTTTGCACTCTAATTGTTGGAAAATTGAAACTTTAAAGGATTTCGAGATACAATGATAAATAATGACTTGAGAAATGAACACAATTTAACACACACACGCGCGCGCGCGCGCTAATTGTATCTAATATTAAAGCAAGCTAATAAAGACTTTATTATTTCATAACATCGAACATGTATAAAAGTTATATATTAAATCACTAAACTACGTCTAGTGTATGCCACACGATATTAATAACATTTTATGCACAAACACATGATTAAGTACACAGCAAACGAAAGAATTAGAGATGGCTATTGTGAGTAAATGATACGCTCGAGACATGCAAAATCAGGCGGCTATGGAAAATAAAATAAAACACTAAGACATTGTACGGTTAAAGAAGAGCTACGTGGGTGTACGTACAGCCAGCCACAGGCACGCACACACAGTAGACGGGGCAGCACAATTGATTGAACATGAACGAATCAAAGTAAAATCCACACTGCGTATAGTCGATTTGGAATTACCTAACGATAAGCTCGAAGAGCTCGAACTGGTCGAAGACTTTGCAGTAAAGGTGCAGAACCCGGACGCAAGCCCACTTCATGCCGGGCCAGGGCGCGAGGCTGAGATCCAGGCCCTCCTCCAGTGGACATTTGCCGATGGTCGAGCCGCGTTTCAGCTCAGCGCCGGATATCGTGGGGAACCTGTTCGCGAGTGCGGTGCCAGCGCGTTCGTTATACCTTTCCTGCTTTATTATGTTCGAATTTGATTTAGGCGCTCATCGAAACGGCAAGGATTTGAATTTTGTGGAACTGGCGTGGCTTTACGCGATGGAAAGTGGATAATATTTCTCATTGCTGTTGGAGGCGCCATAACAATGCGGTGCCGCAGCTCTATTATAGCGCGCCTAATAATGCCCAATATCGAAAGGAAAGCTCCGTAATTCAGGGCGAGGGCCGGGCAAACGAAGAGGCCCAGCGTGCTTTATGTTACGTCGCGATTGTAACGATGAGGCCCGTGCTGAGACAAGTGCGCGCAGAGCCGAGGGCAAGGACAAACAAACGCTGGCATTGAAGCATTGAATCCAACATCGCTTTCCTCGCGGTAAAACTCGACCAGCTGCCCCCCCCCCCCCCCCACAAAAAAAACCCACCCCCCCCCCCCCACCCCCCCCCCCCCAAAAAAAATTACCATCCCCCACCCAGCTATCAAGTAATCGCTACTACCTGTCGTAACTCCAATGAATCGATCGAACGCCACCAACAGCCGCAGCCGGGGATCTTCGCTCGAGCAACTAATCCCACAAAATTCAACGCCCCCGTGCATTCTAAGCAGCCTCGTTTTGCTGACCTGTTCTTCCGGTCGAGCATGGGGTTCCGGCGTTTCTGGACGTCGGGCTCGCCTGGCGACGGGACCAATCCTCTCTTGATCTCGGCTCCCGAGAGCGTCGAATACCTGTCCCGCTTATCGAGGGGCAAGGCCTTCCTATACATGTCCTTCTCGGACATGGAAGGGCATCTCCCTCTGGCGGGCTCGCGTCCTTTTTTCGGCTCGGGGATCCGCACGCGAATGCCCTGGGGCTCGGCCCCCGGTGCCGCTACGCACGACACTCGCACCTCCATCTTTGGGCACTCTTGACCCGGGCCCTTGGGGCTCATCTTCGACTGTTGAGCCCTGGGACCGAGGGGCCTGGGCGCCCTCTGACGTTCGTGCAGCTTTTCGTTCGTTTCGGTTGCTCGCTGCCTCCGAATAACTCGATCCTACCCTGAATAGAGAAGGATCAGTGTTGCTTACTCCGATTTGGGCTGCTGACTTGCGCATTGCAATAGCAAGCCGAGAGGATCGCAAGCGCAAGGTTTCCAGTGTTTGAGGATGCGTCTTAGGATTCAAAAACACACCGTTGGCTCTTTATTACGGGGAGCTCAAGGACGTTTATTTTATAATGCCCGTAGCTTTTAGCATACGATATTTGTGTGATTTTCGGTTAAATGTTAATTTCGCGAAATGCCGAATTGGGAATGAAGTGTGAGATTGGCAAACGGGAGAGGCTCGAGCATCCTGATTTATAATAAATCTATTGACACTTAAATGACGATATTCACTGATTTATTTACATATCAAAGCAACTTAATACACGGTATAACATTCATATTTAAATGAGAAATGTTATTTAATTATAACTGCTATTTTATGTTTAGGCTTTAATGTTAGCAAGGCATTCAACTTTAGTGTCGACTGATTTTCTATAGGCACTATTAAAGCTTGAATTACTCTTCGACTTTAACAAGTATTTCATTGAATCGCATATGTAATGTTGGCAGCCAGACTACTACACTGGCCTTATAAGAGAACAAAATTTTTTTATTAAATCCCTGAATTATTTTTAGAGGAAATTTTTCCACTGTAAATCTCTTCGTACCAAATACTTAACACTATTCTTCAATGCACGGAAATATAATTTCTATGTACAAAATTTGGCAACTTATTAAAAACTTCATGTTCATGTGTTATTATGTGTTTGTTTTTTTGTTTCTTATCCGTAGATATTAAAAGCAAATAATCAATTAAATATAAATTTATTGATATCGGTCATTCACGAAGCATTCGAGTCGTTCGCTTTAACATTATGAAATTTATTACTAATGTCGTTTATGAGTATGAAATCATCCTCTTCTCTAAGTTTTCTTTCTGCTTTAGCGTATCTCACGCTACTATTAATTTATTATAAACCGTCGTTCGAGCTCGTCATTGGCTTAAAACAGAAGCTATTTTATGGATTTTAATGGTGTCTAAAAAAAAAAAAAAAAAAAATCAACAAATCTTTAAAATTTGACTGAAAATGTCACTTTAAGACGACAAAATCATCCAAAATCTAACTCTAATTCCCTAGTGAAACATATACTGACCGATATGTGAAATTCAAAGAATATTAAGAAAATAGAAATTAATAAATTATCTTTTTCATATAAAATTAATATGTCACAATTTTTAATAATATTAATATCATAGAAATGTATCATAAAAATGTAAATAGAATTATTGCAATTGAGAATATTAATAAACAGTAAAATCATAATATTAAGTATCGAGGGACTTTTATTATCATTTTCTGATAAATGATAGTTTATACAAAAATATTTGACTTACAATCAATATGTAAATAAATACGAATTCATTGACTTAAATATAACTTTCGTAGAAAGTATTTCACAAAAAAAGTAAGATATGTTATTCTTGAGAAATACTTGTACTTATTCAAAAGATTAAGAAATAAAAACTTTAAATACAAGAGCTTTTTCTACTTTATCAGAAACTAATCTTGAGATATCACTTGACTTTCGAAAAACAGATTTCGACTATTTTTTTTAAAAACATACAGGCCCATTCACACGTATTTATAAATTATTTATATATCATGGCTTTCGTATATAATGATAAAAACTCACTATATAAATACAACTGTATAACTTTATCATTGTATGAAACTTTACTCATCAAACTTCATCTTAATCGCTGATGATAAAAAGTTTGGAAGTTAAGTGATCAGTTAACTAATAATAATAAAGAAGTACCTTTTAAGACTACTGAGAGATTGTTTCGATAAGTTTATGATCGATAATCATTTTTTCTCTCTCGTCATTAGACATGCATAATTTCATTTAAGTAAGCAATTTTAAATTTATTTGGAATTATCTTTTTATTTGCAATATTAAACGCACTTAAAGTGTCGAAAGTGATTGACAATTTTCGAATAAACTAACAATTGTAATTCGTAAGAATTAAAAATTGCCTTCAAGTTTTAAAAATGAAAAAATTGCAGTGTATATTATTCAAACATTCTTAAATTCTATTTCAATTCACTTTGACAAGATAGTAAAATAAAAATATGCCAATCTTATGAAGAATGATTTTTCAAAGAAATATTATTTATTTTCTGAATAAATGTTGAAAATTTTTATGTTTTAAATATTCGTTTGACTAGATTTTATAATTTATATGACGTAACAACGTTGAAATAGTTTTATTTATTTATCTAGATGAATATTGAAAATTCATTGTCAAGTATTGTGAAAACATTAAAGTCGCCGAGAATTCTCAACTGTAGATAAGATATAATAATACAGATAAGTCGATGTTATAAAAAGAATATATTAATGAATATACTTTGCACAAAAAATTTTTTTTCTAAAAATATAATGGTAATGCAGCATGCCGCAATTATTAATACGATAAATAAGACAAAAATTATTTATTTCTAAGCGAAAATCCACAGTATGTGTAAAGTATTTTATTAAGCATAGGCATTGTTGCTCTATAAAAGTATGGAGAAAATAGTTTTTCTTTTGCGCAAGCACCAGTGCAAAACGCCACATAAATAATCGTCAATGGCATTTTTACAATTACGTATTATCTACATATATGTGCATATATATCTTATCCTTGGTTGAATTCTTCGCGACTTTGAAGCTTTCGCAATACTTGAAATGAATTTTGATATTCCATTAGTACTATCACGCGTTTTAAAATATTCTTAACGCACTACGTTTTAAAGTGCTCTCGCGTAATATGAAAAAATGTTGGTGTTTTTGGGCGGTGAGAGAGATAAGAAAATTATAAACACGAGGTGCAAGTAGTGCTAGCAAAAACTTGTCGAATGAAATTTTTAATTTTACAATCAACTGAATGCCATGAAAAAGCAAAAATAAGCAAATTATAAGCAAATTATAAGCAAAAGGAAAGAAAAATAACGAAAATGAAAAAAAGTACAAACAAGTACAGACTCGAAAATCAGAAAAATTTCATAACATCTAATCGACGTGTGGACGTACACGATCAATATGATCGATAACCATAAAATCGGGGAGTAAATTTCGTGGATGAGCGCACATTACCCAATATTCGATGCGAGTTCCACCTCGAGCTTCTTTGGCCTTTTCGCTCAGGGACTCAGTGGCAATTACGCGAAACACCAGGGCCTTGCACAAATGACTTGAGCATCGAAGGCCCGGGACGCGCTTCGTCCCTGCGCTCCCACAAAGTCGCTCAATAAGTTCTTTATTGACAAGCGGCCTGGTCTAGCGGACGTGCAACTGTTAATTAGGCAAATGCCGCGGCACGAGCGGCGGCGAACGAACGACGAAGCGAGTCGAACTCACCGTTCGAAATAGCCAGCATCGTTTTGAAACGTAATTTCGAGTTATGCTATTCTCGCCCAAGCCGCTCGGCGATTCGCGCGGAGGGCTAAGACGCATCGGCGGATAACCGGATGGGCGCACTCGAGGTGGAGCTCGAGAACTCGACACGATGAGCGAGGTAAGAAGCCTCTTCTTACGGGGATTTCGTCGGCTGGCTCGATTTTTAATAACGACTGGGCCTTATTATATTACTCGTTACGCTATCAATTTCGGCATTCGCGTGGCCGTGTCTGCGCCGCTGCTCATGCTTGTTCCGGATAAATCTAAGGAAAGGCGAGTTGCTCGATTTGACTTTTTTTTTTTTTCTCAGAAGTTTGTTGATGTTCATGATCCCGGAAACTAAACAACATTCCTTCGAGCGCGCAATATTTATAAACAGAGCTTTGACAGTTCAATGTAATCAAGAATTCTCTGCTATCCATCCAAGCCTTAATAATAATAATAAATCTCTCGTACGATATTAAATGCGATTAATTTGAATGATCCGAATTTATGTTGTCAGGAGGAATGCGATTTACGATTAAATGCGATTCACCTGCGCTTATTGCATTAGCGCGAGATAAAAGAAACGAGCAATTAAATGATTAATCGAAACGATTCGTCGTGGGCCAAGCGAACATTTGCCGTTCCACCTTTGGTGCTTTAAAATTTTTAGCAAAAAAAAAAAAAAAAAAAAAAAAAAAAAAAAAATAGCCGTGTGCCGACGGATTGAGAATACATTTGTAAATTAGCCGGATGCAACAATATATTAGAAAATATCAAGTACAATACTCCGACGCGATATCGTCATCCACTAAATGTCCCTCTAAACTCTGTCCTTTACTACTCGCTCACAACCTCATCATTTCTTTTTAACAGTAACTAACATAAACATCGAATATTTTATTTGTAATCGAATGAATAAATATTGCCGGGAGCTCGATAAATTAAACGAACGTTAATATTATACAAATGTTAATATAAATAGATAATTATTGCGGTAAATGCCAAATTCGACGTATTATATATAATGACGCTGCTTTTACGTCTTAAATATACATTTGTTGCGGCATTAACCACAAAAACTTCTCATCACAATAGAAATAGATTGAAGCTAAACAAACAAATAACCATTTGACCGCTCACTACCAATGAATGTCGCGATGTATTGCAAAACAGTTTCGTTATCTCGAGAAAAATTGATAAACATCATGGTTTTAATGAGATAAATTATTCAAAGCATTCCCACAATTTTTTCCATATTCAAAGTAAATTTTTTAATCCAACGATACAGCCGAGCTTTTTTACGATACCTGCAATCATAACGGTCAACCGACGCACAATCGCCCAACTCTTAACTACATATAAATATAAATCTTCGTTTACAGAACGAATAGAGTGGAAAGAGTATTGCGCCTAAAAGTCACGGGGCTAATGGCCAACGAAACGTCAAGATCGTGATCGCTTAACGAATAATATCCTAAAGTTCTGCGTGTCCTACACGTAGCGCGCGCGCGCTCACACACGTATACTAAAATTTCATCGCACAAACGTCGCACGACACAGCAGTACCCCGCCAGAAGGATACTGGCTAAAAGAAATTGGCAACTCTTGCTCGAAGCGAAGCCGACGAGGGGCAAATGCGCATCGACGCTCGACGATCCTGGAAAAACGTCTGTCGCTATACCGGGAGCGCTCTCCTCCTCATCTTACTCACCGAGGTGCCTCTCACAGTCTGCAGACGCGGACACAGATAAAGAGGCTGGGCATCGCTCGTCGCGACCCCGAGGCTGAGCTTGCAAGCGCCCGAGCGACCCGGAGATGCAATCGCGAGGGAGGCGCACTTGGAACTGGCGCCAGCGCCACGAGGCTTCGGTTGACCGGAGGTACGAGAGCCACGGGACCTCGTGCACTGGCGCTTTTCTCGGCGCAGGCGCGAGCCGAGCCTTCGGCTCACTTCCCTGCTGCTTACGGCAATCCTACGCCTCCCGTTTCTCAACGATAAGAGGGACTACGGGGGCTGTTACTTCTTTGGTCGCGTACACGCCAGGATTCCCCGGCTCTGCGAGCGAGCTAATGTTTGGTCCTGCCGTGCCCCTTTAATCTATTAATTTATCCGATATCACCGTTGATAAAAATTTACGCACGTATCTTGCACGCTCGCGTAGCACTTTATGTTATGTTAGTTGAAAGCAAAAAAAAGCATTCGGGGCTAACGCAATTTTATATTTAAATCGTTATTCAAACAAACAGCGTGTGTACGCACCTTTTAACAACGCGTTAACACTCAAACATGGAAATTCTTCGTACGCGATTCCAAAACTTCTATACTAAATTAACAATAAGGTCTACATATAAACAGTGTATGCTCCCGTACTCTGTTCGTCTGTCTGTCTGTCTGTCTTTTCGTGTGTGCGTGTGCGTGTGCGTGTGCGTGTGCGTGTGCGCGCGTGTGTGTGTGTGTGTCTGCGTCAACACTCGTGAGAGTGAGAGAGTGTGAGGGGGAGGGAGCAGGGGGGGGGGGAGCTATGTTCCTTATTATACTCCGATTTGTTAAATATTATATTTAACTTAAATGCTATGGCTTAAATATATTATGAATTCTTTAATTGAGGCAGATGTTCAAACATCAATACCCAATCGATAATACCAATATCTAACGATAAAAGATAACTTCTTTGTTGCGCAACCTCGTAGCTACTGAAACTATCGAGTCACATAAAATCACTCAAATAATGTACGTATTTCGCGCATCTTATTTCATTCAAATAAATAAGAAAAATATCGATCAAGAATGGATATAAATTTTTAATGGGAATAACATTTTCATTTTCCATAATCATTATTCGTTGTAATTTGGGCGGATTATAATCGCCTCATATAAGCAAATCCGATAGAAAACCTCACAACGAAAACATAAGCATTTTGGCGGCCAACGTCAGCATGATAAAGTTGACAGACTTTTGGCAGGGTTATGCTCAAATACTTGAAGATCTTTCCTCGTGAAAGCGACTTTTTAACGCACGCTCTATTCAAGTTTGTGCGAACGTCACGTACAAACATAAAATTGTACAGCGCTTCAACAGGTTACTCTTCTCTCTTTCTCTCCATCCATCCCACTTTTGATTTTTCCATTTTCTCTCGCTCTCCCACTTCCTCTTTCTTACACTTTTCCGAACTTGCTCGTGAAGATTCGTTTCTCCTCTATAATACTTCGTGGTGCTAAATTTTATTACATACGAGCATCCATTATACATAATAATTTTTAGTATACTTTATGTAATAATTTATTACTGTTTTATATAGTTTTCATAAGATTATTTGAAAGCTTATCTATCTTTCATAGTATTTGCTTATTGCAAATAAAACATTAATATAATTGCAATAAGGAATTCATTTAAAAATCAAGAATGTTGAAACAAATTTATAATATTTATCTTAAAACATGCACGCGCAATGACTTCCATCCATATTAAATGTGCGGAGAAAAATAATTTATAGACACTGTCAGAAAATTAATGATTCCATTTCAATTATAATTATTAAAATTTATATTCAATATAGAGGACTTTTATACAAATTAATTAATACGCTAGTATTAATGTTATTGTTTTTCATTCTCTTTTCTACCATTTCTTTTCTGTCCAATGTTTTTAAAACAAAAAGCAAATACAAACATAATCACTAGAATTACCAAGTATTTGAATTATTTAAAGTTATTTGCATATATATAAGTTATAAAATTATTTAATGTTGCAAATTCAATTGGCATAGCTCGAGTGAAGCTTAGCGACGATTGGAATATCTATAATTTCATTAAAATATTTCTAAATGTTACCGTTTAAATGAATTGCCTATATACATAATTTTGTAATTTGTCATAAACATTTAATAATTAAATTTCTATAAAATATCTGGATAAAATATTGACACTTTATTATGCTTACTTTGCTATATCTACGTTTTTTATCACTCATAATGCTTATAATAATTATAATATATTTTACATAAAAATTTCTTCGAATTTCCAACAATCTCTATAAGTAGGAAAACTGAGTTCGGTTAAATCTTTATTTCTTTCGTGTCATTTTTTGATATTGCATTTTCAAATATTTTATTTGTTATTCATATAAACAAATGAACATGTATCAACATTTGAAGGGAAAAAAATCTGTTTCAACTCATCGATGTCAAAACGGGTATTTCTTTCATTATAAAAAACAACTTTTATATATTGTACCAGAAGACTTTTGTTGAACGGACATAAAAGAAAAATTAATAATCTTATGCAAAAAAAAGTTTATTCGACAAGTATGTACTTACTATTACATTGAACATTCCCAACAATTTAGCTTTTATATTTAAATTCGAAATTTTTAAATGCAAAATTCGAAACGTAGTTTCAATACCAGTTTAAGATGCAAATTTTTAAATACATTCTAAAATTATAAAAATATTATGTATAATCGTTTAAAATTTCACAACATTAATTATAGTAAATTTCATAAATTTTTTAATATGTATTATCAAAAATTTCATTTGAACTATAAAACATTTTACATTTATTGTATAAGCGTATTAACTTCTTATTGTTCAACCATAATCTTCTACGAGTGTATTTTTCTTTATTAGTGAACAAATAATTCACATACCTCACGATAACACTATTATATATAAAATTATAATTTTATTTTACATTTTATATTTATTTTTTTTTCAATATAAATATGTCGTTGTTACGATTAATTCTACTGAACGATTATTTTATGCTTTATTTTAAAGTTCACCTTCTCGAATACAAAATTTACTTTAAAGCATCAGTTTTTTTTTTTTTTTTTTTGTTTTACTCGTGATTTATAGAATTATAAACTATTGACAGAATTATGTGCCCTCGTCTTGTTATAAACGAACTAATATTGCAATTGTTCAAGATTTATCCAAGCCAAACCAATGAAAATGTCATTGCGTTAGACTATCCTTGGCAATGACTTCGCTGCCTCGGCTTCAAGACTAGAATGGAGCGAGAGTTAGTAACGAGTGCCAAAATACGTCCTTGTCACTCACCTGCCAACGCAACCAAACACGAGGCGAATTTCGAGGATGGAGGGGAAGCCATTTAATTTCGCGCATTGCGATTTTAATAGCAAAGGGTAAATATTTTTTGCTGATATCATAAGGAATGTGCCTGACAAGATGAAAATAATTAAGGTCGAGGATATTTGTTCGATCAAGCGATAAGAGAAAATAATTATTTTATCGAACAACATTGTTATGATGCCTAACTTTTTTAAGATAAACAATGTTTTTGAGTTTTTATTGTTTAATATTGAACTTATACAAAACATGTTAAGAATTAATATATTTTCAATTTGACTTTTGTTAATTTTATAATAGTCTAATGTTTTATAATATTAATAAGTTTCTTCGGATATTTGTACAGTTTACATTAATTAAAATAATAATTATTGTATCTTTGGAATTATCTTAAAATCATAAATAATTAAAAAGAATTTATGTACGTAAAATAGAAATCTAATAATTAATATGAAAAATGTATTTTCATTCATTCCAAATAACCAATTATTTCTCTCGTCTCCTCTGTCCCGCTCTTTCTTATCATATAACTATATTTATTCTGTCTGTCTGTCTGTTTGTCTGTTTGTCTGTTCGTCTGTCTCTCTCTCTCTCTCTCTCTCTCTCTCTCTCTCTCTCTGCCCCCCTCCTCATATCGCTCGCCTCTTTCTGATTCACTTTGGCTGTAGATTCTTTTATAAGTAATGTAGTGAATGATGCATTCATATCCTTGAATAAATGAAGTCAAAATTTTAAGAGAAATAAAATATGGATAATACGTACAAAGTGCTTGTGATTGACTTAAAAAATTCGAAGCAAAGTAACAGTTTGTTTAAAAGAAATGAGAGAGAAAATGGTTGGATCTTTAAGTAAGTTTTTGCCTCACTGGTGGTGCACAGATCACCGATTTACCATGCTGGAGAACTTTTTTTTTTCTGTGTTGATGATTCATCGTGATTATGACCCACATTTCGTTCTCACGTAGTCGACGATGTTCGTCAATCCGCGCATCCATAACCATAAAGATGAGAGAACTTGCTAAATTTGGCACGTAATAAGCAATAATCATCATAAGAGATAATATAAAATATATCATTAAAGATCTTTGGGAATTATCGAGCAACTACGTTCTTAGTTTAATAGTATAATACACTGCAATATTATGTATAATAAATTTATTATAATAATACATTTATCAAATAACTATAGGGAAAAAATTCGTTGATCATATAAGTATATTAACTATTACTGTATTATACAATACTTTAAAACGAATTACATTTCAACAAATATAAAATCAATTATAATATAATGAAATAGGTATTCAATATCCAATTAATTTATGATAGAAAGTCCAGAAATGATCTGAGATATTATAACTTTTATTTAAAAGCTATAATCTAAATTTACAAAAATATTTTTGTATTTGTCAATTGCATGTGCAAACATTTTTATTGTCTTAACACGAAATCGTAGAGTAGCTTATGCAACAGTTATCAAATTAAAAAAAAAAAAAAATTCTTATAGCATATATTTTTCATTTTTTTAGTGATATAAGAATTGCAATCACATAAATCAGTTCGCTAATGATAATTGTAAAATAAAATAAACACAATATTCGGCCAGCCAATGATTAAGACTAGCTCAGTGTCATCAAACTAACATAGCTAATAATGTGAAAGGTTACTTCGCTTAAGCTGGGGTGGGCTTCTACACCTGAGCTTACTGACAAAGCCTCGTCACATGTCACCTCTACGCAATATCCTGGCTTTTAAACGATTTAATTATAATCTACTGTTACATACTCACATTTTCAAAAATATCCTCCTATTGTTAATATTCGTAAGCCTTTTGTTATGAATTGAAACGGATAAAGCGAACAAGGAAATATAAAACATAATAAACTTGAAATTAATATTAGTTTAATAATATTTCGCAATAATAACCATTATTATTGAATTTATGATTCTTAGTTTATAATTTAAAATTAAATATATTTTCAAATAAACTATCAAACAACTATTGATCATTCTAATATTATTTCGCATATTCATATAATTTAAACTAAACTGTCATAGCCACAGTATAGAAATATATGAAAAAAATTTTACAATGAATTATTTTTTAATTTTCAAAACTACGTTACTTATAAATGAAATTAAATTTCGTACGTATTAATAATAAGTAAATATTAAATTTTTAAATTTAATGTGAATCGAAAGTAAATATATCGAAAGTAAATATTAATTTTCATAAGATACATAAAATTGAGCTTAAAGACAATATAATCAGCAAAATCTGAAAAAGACGCTATAAATTCTTATATAGTAATAACATTTTATGTTTACGGACAATAGAATAATGAGAAGACAATATTGATAATACGTGAACGGACTATTATCACACTTTATATACGATCGACGATATTATTTCAAACACTGTATACACGTTTTGTATGTGTAAAACTAAATTTTGCACATAATTCAACTAAAGCGAAATTATTTCCTTCGTTATTTTGATAACTTTTTAAACGATTAGGATAATTTGGTTTTCTTGATGCTAATAGAAATTCCGTGCATAAATTAGAATTTAATTATCAAATAATGGATAAATTTGTATTTATCGTTAAAAAAGTAAATTTTATTTATTTATATTAATTGTATGTATTAATTGATATTAATGTAAATTTGTCAATAAAATATGATTGTATTCTAGATAACATTTCAAATATTTAAATGTACGCCGTCAAAAAGGTTACTCTCGTGAGAACTAATACAAATGAATTCCTTTCTATATTCTTGTAATAAAAGATATTTTGAAAACAATTTTTAACAGAATTAAAAACAATTTAATACATATTATGATAATCTCGCAAAATTAATAATCTGCGTAACTCATAATTGAACGTGTGAAAATTTAATTTTCTGAACAGTAAACATTGTCCAAACAACTATGCACTACTATTTATTTACTCAAAGATTTAATATTCAATATTACACAATTAAAAAATAGAAACGTACAACAATATTAGCCAAGTTATATATCACTGCCACGGATTTTCTTATTCCTTAATTAAAATGGCCAATTGAATAGTCAATAAAAATCTTCTCAGCACGTGACGATGACTTTCAAGGTTTTTTATTGAATAATCGATCAGTCTGCATCACTGGCACACTAAACTTCTCCACACGTATTCCTTCTTCGCTTCCTTCATTTATCACTCTCACTCTCTCTCTCTCTCTCTCTCTCTCTCTCTCTCTCTGTCTTCCCTATTATAATTCATTTTATCATTCATAATTATTTATTTATTCATAATTTAATACGAAAAGTCTATTTACTCTTTAAAGTCTAACGATCATGTAAAATTTAACATAGCGTTGATATTTATGTATTATTAATTTCCTTCGATTTCCAAACTTACTCAATCACTGCTAACTACACTTTGCTTTTACATTTCATTTTATAAAATATCTCGCTTCGTTAAATGATTATTTTTTTATTGCACTTTAAATTGAAAAATCTGATAATATGCAAACTAATCCCCATATTATGACATGCTTAAATAAATAGGCTTTATTTAAAAATTTGGAATTAAAAAATTATAATGGACTTGTAAAGTATTAAAAAATAAATAATATTAATAATAATAATAATAATAATAATAATAATAATACAAGAATAAAAGGAACAAAAAATTAAACAAAAACATCAAATATGATTTAATCAGTTATATTATGTATATGTTATGTTATATTATAGTTATATTATATATATAGTTTATGCAATAAATTTTTTATTACAATGAATATATTTAAAAATTGTAAATTTACCTTTAAATCGAATATAGTTTATTATATTTATCTTATACCGAACAAAACGTATTGGAAACCTTGAGAATAAAATGATGATGTATAAACTAGGCAATCCCATAATAATTTCCTACGCTTACGACTACGTTGTGTTATTTAATATACCATTCCCAGAAATTATGACCATTTGAATTCATATGCTTGAACGTCGAATGAATTTATTATGAATTATGCTTAATAATACTAAAATGAACCTCGCTTGGTCATTTTCAATCACAGTCTCATTAATTTGAAATTAAAATTATAAATTAGCATACGATCTTTTTTTCTTTTTACCATTGTTTCAAATAATATTGTTGATTTATTAGAACGTTAATAATATTCACAATTGTGTAATTTTATTTTTAAGCGTTCCTACTATTATCTACGTTTTGAAAATTTTCAACAATGGTTTCGAATTGGCATATATGCAAAACATATTAGTCGTTAGTCTTGTAAAACCCTTATGTCATATAATGTTTGTATGCAATTGCATTGACCACTATAATTTTATATTCAAAACCATTAAACGAATGCTTAATCTTAAACGACTGCATCTGTACAAATTATTTAGTTACCTTCCCAAGTCAAACCAATTATCAATCTTCCAAAACAGAAACAATAAAATAAATAGCATCCTCATAACTATTGCTTACTCGCTTGGCTTATCGGCTCGACATTTAAACAATGTCAGCATCTCCTCATCCACCTTCTTCGCCACTTCCTCTTCATCTTCCTCCTCCTTAACCACCTTTTCAGCGATTCTACCGTCGATCGAGGGCGGCTCGAAATTATTCCCCTCAGCTTCACTTTCTCCTCCTCCACGTCCAATGAGAGTTGCGCTCGTAAGCGACGGCAAACGTCGCGGGCCACGACGTCGCATAGCGAAGTTGCGCTCGCGCGATGGGAATCGTGGCGTTTTCCTCTTGATCTCCATTACCTCCTTCACCGAGAGTCTGTCGTCCCAAACCATTTCCGGCTCGTTTTCACAATTTCGGTCTTCGTCGTTTTTTCCTCGACGGGCGAGAACTGCGCGCGATACGACGACTTATTTAGGGAGAAAGAGTCTGCCTCATGCCCACGCGATCCCAAGCAATACACACTTTACACGTGGAATGTGTATTTATTGGCTTAAGCGACGATGAAGTTATTCGAAAATTTTCTGCTTAAAAAAAAAAGAAAAGAAAAGGAAATAAAAAAATAACATTCGAGGTGATGAATATTCTCCT